GCATTAGCTTTGGCCGGGGACCTTCTTGCAAACCCACAAACAAGGCTCCAAAATAACAGTGTAACAACTTTTTGAATGCTTTTTCTCACTTTTATCCACTATTCAAAAATTATTATATTTTTGGGAATAAGAATTTTAAATTGTGCTAAACAAATATAGGGTTAGAAAGACTTTAAAATGAATAAATAAATGACTATGTCATGTAGGCTATTATTTATAAATCGGTTATTTGAAAAGTGCTGCTTTTTAAGATTTACCAGWCATTWTGTGTGTTATCACAAAGTATCAGTATTGGTATCAGCATCGGAAATTGGCAGTATCGAACAAAATATGTAAATGAGCAACATGACACTTTATAGCTACACGACCTTTAGGGAACCTGCTCAAAGGAGGCTCGATCAATGAAGAGGCCAGCTAAAGGTCACTGAAGTGTACCTTWCATTACGATGTTCTGTCTCATGTAATGTATGAGCGGATTGGAGCGGGCTTATTAAGGCTGTTCTAAAACGATTTTGAACCCTCGTCACAGAGTCAAGCAAGGCACCGTCCAATCAGGATAGACACGATTTATTTTTAACCAATCAGATGCTTCTTACGATATTTTGACGATCCTGCCCAACGTCCAATCGTCACTGCGGACGGCTGCAGGCCTCAATCCGTCTTCAACCTTCTCTCTTCTGGAGGGGCACCTTCAACTAGCTCCGCGGTCCATTGGCAGTGGCTTACTTTGGTGTGTAGTTTAAGTAGAAGTAACTCTTTATTACAGACGCAATGTCCTTTCTGACCGTCAGCAGGCTAGTGCCTAAACTTCTTAATTCAAAGGTAAGACTTCATAAAACGAACTTAGTGGGTTTTTTTAAGTCAAAGTTGCCGACGTTTTCTTGGAGCTAACTTTTGGCTAGCTAGCTAACAATGTATTAGCTGGCTAATAGTTAATAGCTAGCCCAGCCTTGTCAGCCACAGTGTGAAATGCAGTTGAACAATTGTGTGGGTGGTTACTGCTCACTCTTTGTCAAGTATTTTAGGTGTGCCGCTCGTTTCTTGCGGGTTTATTCCGTCATTATTGAATGTGAACTTATGTCTCGTTAGCTCACGTTAGCTTACGCTGGCCTTGTCAGTCCCATGATCTTGGACATCATGTTTCCTCAGGCAGGGTTACCAGACTGTGTTATACCCGASCTTAAGAGCTGATTTCCTTTCATTTGATATTTAGCTAACTGTCATTCATATGTTTGGCCGTCTATAAAAACCMTGATCGTATTTAAACGTGTATTTTACTTCCATTGTTGACCTTCACATACTTTTCAGCATATTATTATCTAATATTCCTCCTTTTTGACAGATGTTGCATAATTGTGTAAATCATATTTTTAAACAGTTCTGTAGAACAGGATTTGTGTGTGTGTGTTTAAATAATTTAAAATTCATTAYAGGGAAAAGACTGTCTATTTAGACTTGTAAATTGAGAATGAGTTTTTATAGTTAATTGGGTAATTTTATTATTTTATCACAGGKTTTCACAAGGTGCCAGACAATGATCTAAGTGCATGCACTGGCTGCAGTTTACCTGTGATTACAACCTGCTGTCTCACCCACYGACCTTTCAATACAGGCTCATTTTTGCATGCCACTTTCATTTAAAATATTTACAAAAGTTGTCCAGAAGGTCCTGCTTCCAGCCTGTTTAGGTGACTTAATGATTTCCTACCTTGCTTGAACTGGTGTGCATTATATTTGTAGAGCAGACCTCTGACACATTTTAACCTGTTCTCTTATCAGTGCTCTCAGCTCGTGAGAGTTATGAGTTAGCTGTTTTTTTTTTTTTTTTTTTTTTTTTTTTTTTTTTTGTAGTTGCATAATAGTTAATTACTCTAAACTGTATGATTAAAATAAAATGGCCTGAGGCTTTTCTCTTAGTTTTTCTTAGGGAGTTGTTAATTTTTGATGTTGGAAATGTCAATAACGGCATTTTTTAAAACAAAAATACAAGTTTAACAAATGTTCTGTTTGATTTTACTCACCTCTGACTGTCATTGGGTTATTTTGTGTGTTTGTTTGCCTACAGCAGGCATGTCCAACTCCGGTCCTCAAGGGCCGGTCTCCTGCAAGTTTTGGATTTGTCCCTGCTTCAACACAGCTGATTCAAATAGATGATTTGCCTTCTCAGGTCTGCAGAGGCTCACTAATAAGACACTCCTAAGGTTCAGCTGTGTTGAACCAGGGCAGCACCTAAAACATGCAGGACACCGGCCCTTGAGGACTGACTTTGGACACCATTGGCTTACAGCAATGTTTTGCCCATTAACAAGGTTGTTTGTTTTGTTAACTATAAACAATGTTAGTCTCTGACAGTCAAGTTTAGTGTATTTACTTATAAACAAGTGTTCTTCAAACTGCCTCCTTACTAGCTGAAGTGGCCTATACATAAAATTGATTAAACATCCTGAATTTAAACTAAAAATTAAAATGCATTCTTACACTTCATCTCAGCCTGGTGGAGGTTGAGAATGACTGAGTCAAAGCTTTTAATAGGAGACCCCAAGTTGTTGCATAATCACKTTCAGCTGTGTATTCAGCACAAACCCACCTTTTGTGTTGAGGACCTTTAGTTGGACCCTATTCATTTGTAACGAGTTCACTTCCTCCGTCTCTATCCTCTAATGAAAAAATAAAAAATAAAAATTCTGTTTAAGAGTTCAAATAATGTTTCAGCTTCTTTTTTATATAATTGCAAGAATTTTGTCTTCCAAGCACTTTCATAACTTGTTGTAGTATGTCTTTTTTAACCTCCCATCATTTTGTCCCTGCTCCAACAAGACGTAGCCTGGGGAATATTAATTATAAACAAATGTGTTTCTCCCTGAGAAGGATTTTAACTTTCTGAATTTTTCCAGATAAAAGGCCTATGAATGCATTTTTAGGAAATTTGTCATTTTTAGACATAAAGGATGTTGATAATAATAATAAAAGGCCCACTTAAGTGCWAAATACTGTCTTCAGATTAGTATAAGTACACATGCAAACCATATTTGAGCCTGGGGTGCCTAGTGTTCAATTTTAAACTAGTACACAATCGTTAAGCAAGTAATTAGTACTGTGTTACTGCTCATCAGTCAAAAACTGTTTGGGTTACAAATTAAAAATCTTTTTGGTAAGGTAAATAAAATAAAAAYAGYAAAGCACTCCCTAGCAGCTGTTTTTTGTAATCATTGGTTTTWAAAGTTAAGGTTGAGACTTTACTTTGGGTTCCCAACCTCATCGTAGAAGTTATGAAYATTGAAAACATGAGCACAGGAACTTGTCATAATTTCAGTTGAAGACATCTTGAAGTGCATGAGATTTGTAGGTTCAGTAAAGATCGGTGTTCTTGGCAGTTTTTCTGACATTTTTATTCATATTGATATCAAAATAGTATTGTAAAATTAGGAGTTATCTAGTGATATAAATTATAAMCATATCATCCAGCCCAAGTCTCACTTAAACTGTCAGAAATAGTAATGTTTTGCCATAATATTTTGTAACCTTTGAGCTGTTTCAGTTCATGTATAAGTTTTATTTTGGTTGTTTGTTGCTCTTACAGTCAGATTTCTGTTCTCTAATTCACAGAATGCCACTTTCTTTTTTGTGGCTGCTAGAAATGCCAGCGCAGCAACAACAGTAAGTAGACTAATTTAGTTTACATATGTTTTACTTGTTTTAGATTGTGCACAATTGTTTATATTAAAATTAAAAGAATTATGTAKACTGCAGTAAAAGCCATTTTTGACTGCAGTCTTTCAGGTTTTAACAGAACATTCTGACCTTTGTCATGAAACATGTACAGATCAATTTTTTTTCTTAGAAATGTCTATAAATAGTCTGTTTAACTGTAGTCCACATCAAAAGAATGTCTCTTATTGTAGTAGTGTTTATTTAAGGGCTTTACTAAACTTTTTTTCTTTCTTTCAGAATCTGAAGGATGTTCTGGCAGATCTTATTCCAAAAGAACAGACCAGGGTGAAAAACTTTAAACAACAGTATGGAAAAACCAACATAGGTCAGATTACTGTGGATATGGTGAGTAATTCTAGATTTGTTAATTATATGTATAGGGTAGAATACAGTGACAAATGTTTTTTTTTTAAAAAAAGGAACTGAATTTCTGACTCAGTGTTTTAATCTACGAGGGGACATTTAGGCTATTGACCATGACCAGGATTAATAGTGGCATGGTAGCTACACATAATCCATTTAGGCCTGCCCAGACTTGCTTACTGCAGTAGGTATCCCTGTGCAGTCGWATCTCTTACAATTTAGACTCCATGTACATGAATATAGATTTCTGACAGCACACATTTCAGCTGAGTCATGCAAAATGGCTGTAAACTGTGGATCTTATACAAATGGGCTCACACACCTTTACAACATGATAGAAACGTTTTATGGTTGGTTTCTTTATGGATTTTAAAGAAATTGATGTCTTTATTTTCTGTTATCAGACCACTTTGTTTTAATTTTATTATTTGTCCACACTATTGTTAATTTTTTTTAGTCTTGCCAACTTTTTATTATCAGGGGTGTAAGAAAATATTGATACACTGAAATATCGTGATATTTCATTTCTTGATACTGTATCAGTTCTCTAAAGCACTGTATCCATTTTTAATTAAGATTTAAAATGTAACTTTTCATGCCAGCAGTTACGGTAATTCCAGTGTTGTAATTTAGCCTCCAGCCCCTTGTTGGCAGCAGTCAGTCATCCTTTTAGCTCTTGCACTCCTAAAGAGCCAGAGAGTATAGGCTCAAACGTTAGCATTGTGAGTAAACATTAGCACGAAGTACCAATGGCTAAATTTGGGCAGATTAAACCGACATCAGCTGCCTTCAAATCTGAGGTAGTGTTGCCAAATGTCCYTTATTAGCCAGGATGTCCCGTATTTTAAGAAAATTAAAGTGTCCCGCACCGGTCACTCTTTCTTCTGACTGCAGCCTGCAAGCAGAGCCGTCTTGTTACGAAAGGCAGGCAGGCATCTGTGTTACACCTTAAGCTGAAGGGAGTCCCTGTGGGATGATACGGAAGTGGCCAAATGCAACGATCATAGGAATTATTAARGGCATTGAAATAAATTTTTGGAGAAAAAAAGTCAATATATTGCCTTGCTTGCAGTATTGCGATACATCGTATCACCAATTTCTTACACTTGCATAAAAATATATATTTCAGGCTTTAAAAAGTGTCTTTAACATACTGACAACTACAAACACAAACTCTCTAATGTTAGTAAAGCTATTTATTTTTCATAATGTAATGTTGGTATATGCTTATGGTTGCTGTGTTTTTTTTTTTTAAAGGTGTACGGTGGTATGAGAGGAATGAAGGGTCTGGTATATGAAACCTCCGTATTGGATCCTGAGGAGGTGAGTCTTAAAGCTCATGCTGACATATGGCACACTGGTGGTCTCATCTTTGTTATGGTTACAAAAACAAAGGGTTGATTTTCATCACAGGTTGTATCTATAAATAAAATAAATAAAATCTTATTACATTTTCATTTAGACTAAGAATATGCCAGGACTACATACTGTTCACAGAACAAGTATTGTTCTAGTGCCTGCGTGTCAGGACTGTTATTATTTGAACACTTTTATTGGCTTCCTCTTAGTTTTTGCTATCAGTGACAGCTATCAGTGGAAAAGTGTCAGTGTCTTCCTATTTCACAACCATGGAGCCATAGAGAGATAAAATCTTTGCTTTCTCTTTACTTTGCATTTAAAAAAACTTACCAGTATACTGTTTTAGTTGATTGTTCTGTTTACCACATAAGACAAACTATTTTAATTTGTTCCCCTTTTCCTTTAATCCACAGGGCATACGCTTCAGGGGCTACAGCATTCCAGAGTGTCAGAAGTTGCTACCTAAAGCTCCAGGAGGTGAGGAGCCTCTGCCTGAGGGCCTCTTCTGGCTTCTGATCACAGGACAAATCCCAACTGAGGAGCAGGTGAGTGGCTGGGAGAYGTCACAATAAATTATTAATGTGCACTACAGTAAGCATAAGCAAATGTTGGCTGTTTTTTATTTTTTTAATTTATTTATTTATTTTTTGGTCCTGGTGGCTCAAACTGTTCTTGCTAAATTTTTTTCATACATTTTATAAAATGATTGTTCTTGCTCAAAAAAAAAAAAGAATATGAACAAGTGTTTTGTCACATTGTGTTCAGAGAAGGCAGGCATTAGATAAAAGGAAATATTGCAAATGAGGTTACTTTGTAACCTTAATAAATGCTTAGTTTTTTTCTATGTAGGGATGCACGATAACTTATTTTAAGAACCGATAACTTTCTCCTTCTAGTAGCAGATAACCGATAATAACCATGCCAGGAGATAAGACTAGTCAAAAATGGGTAAGATCATAACATAAATAAACAAGACCAAAACCAAATGACTGTAAATTATATTATTTGAAATAAACTCTTGGCAAGTAAACATTTCTTAAAATATATCAAACAAAACAACTTCTCAAATGGCCATAGTTTTAAATAAGGCACATTTTTTATATAAAAAAGACGTTTAACACTGATCTNAGATAAGACTAGTCAAAAATGGGTAAGATCATAACATAAATAAACAAGACCAAAACCAAATGACACTGTAAATTATATTATTTGAAATAAACTCTTGGCAAGTAAACATTTCTTAAAATATATCGAACAAAACAACTTCTCAAATGGCCATAGTTTTAAATAAGGCACATTTTTTATATAAAAAAGACCTTTAACACTGATCTCAGATTTAAACAAATATGTACAAAGAGAATAAGTCATTCCACAAGTTCAAAACAGATAATTCACTAACACAAGTTAGATTCAAAGTACATTTGTTTTTATTATTATTATTATATCATTTAAAATACTTTTCTGCCTGAAACAGTGCTTCTGAGATAGGTTATGCACTGTCAATCAAAGTGTGAATGCATTACGACCGCATTACTTACTGGAAGAGAGAGATGCAGCAGCAGCTCAGCATGGTAAACCGTGGCTAACCCCTAATTTACATTACTTGTATTCTGTCTCCGCTCCGCTCCAACCTCCGCAGCAAATACTCACCCATTATAATCAATGACAGTGTTTACACTGGCTGCACACTGGCTGCGCAGGGCGGCGGTGAGCGGACGGCGATCCGTCAAAATTAGAACAGATCCTATTTTTGCCGGACGACGGAGCAGCGCCGGAGTCAGTTTTTAAAGATTGCATTGCACCAACAGCAAAAGACATGAGCACAACATCCGTAATTTCAAAATAAGACACTGTTCGGCGAAATAATGTCGAAATTGCAGCTATAGTAATAAATATACGGATATATTTCTACACAAATGCTGTCAGAATGTATTGTTCTGTTTGGGAAGCAGATAGAAATGTAGCATGAAGCATATGTGTACACACACGATACACATGGATTTTATTTTGAAATCAGAAGTTTCAGAAAGCCGACAGTGAGACAGTTTCAACACAGATACCAAAAGCCTTTAGATCGTTGTTTTCAGCTGTGTTTGGAGTTCGTCTTTCACAGAATTAATTATTTTTTGCTGTGACTTCCACACTTATCACTGAATTTATCATGCAATCTGCTTCCTGCACGTCTGTTGGACCGGAGCGGAGCGGAGGTAGTGTAAACTGGACTTGAAACGGTGCAGCTGCGACCTGCGCAGCGGAGACAGAACGGAGACAGAACGCAAGTAATGTAAATCTGGGGTAACAAGGAGATAAAAGCTTTGGTCTTTAACGAGGGTAAACGGCTGCTTGTCGAGCTCCATCATTTCAATCGTTGAAGTGCTTGAGATTTGCGTCTTCTCTGGCAATTATTTTGGATTTGTGAAAAGCCTCAGCAATGATTTAAGTCTCGATGAGTTCTTGAATGCTAGCTTGTTGTTTTCTAGTGAGACAATTGTTTTTTTCCGACGCCATTTGAACGTTGCGCTGGTCGGGCAGGATGGGGAGCAGTTTGACCAAAAAAGATAAAAATWGATGAGCACACCCACTACCGCACTGGCAAACATGTACATATGTTATCGGTTCTGCTTGTTATATCGGATCGATAAGTATGACGTCGTAATCCCCTGATATCGGGCCGTGCACCCCTAATTCTATGACAGTTTCACATGTTTTCATCACACAAGTTTTGAGGTACCTCATGATTAAAATGTGGTACTTACAGACAACCAGAAAAAATGAAGAAGCAATTTTGATAAAACGTTTTACAAAAAGAAATATTAGGAAGTTTTAAMGTTCTGTGATTGACTTTTGATGCCACAAACTACATACTACTATCCTCTTGAAGCCTGAATACAWTTCTGTTTAAAACGCGTACATGCTTTGCCACACAAGGCTCTAAGTTTAGTCACAAAATTGTAAAAGATAAGCACATTTGACACTGAAGCTTCAGTGTGAGCAAATCTAAACGCATGCATTACGAAAACGTTTTAATGTCTTGGCAGGAACAATATTGTTGACCAAAGAGAACAAATAATCTCTGCATTTAATTGAAGGAAACTTTCTAATTGTTTTATTTATAGCATATAGGATTGAAATTTTGAAAATAGGCAGTCTGAAAACTGTTTTTAGATTTAGAGTAATTTTATTGTTTCCTCTTGTGAGCAGCAGCTCCTTGTGCTTGTGTTGCATGCGTTTTTATTATCTTTTTTAAAAACTGCAACAATCTTCACCATTTATAAGATAATGCTTTCAACTAAAATCCCTTCTTCTTTTAACTGATGGTGGCATTTCTCTCATTACATTTTGTACCCTTTGTTTTGTCATCTTTGCAGTGTCAAAGGTGAAAATTTGAGTTCTTTTTTTCCCTTTTAGACAAATGTAAGTTGATGTAAATTCATAATTTTTTGCCCCACCCCCCACAGGTAAGCTGGGTGTCCAAAGAGTGGGCGAAGAGAGCAGCGCTCCCCTCTCACGTTGTCACCATGTTGGATAATTTCCCCACAAATCTGCACCCCATGTCTCAGTTCAGTGCTGCTATCACAGCTCTGAACAGTGAGAGCAGTTTTGCCCGAGCCTACTCCGAGGGAGTCCACAAGTCCAAGTACTGGGAGGTGAGATTATTATCATATTCTGTTAAATAGCGGCTTAGTGTTTGGTAGAATTATGGCCTRATGGATGCAATGGTGTTGAATTTAATACTGAAAGTAATGGTCATAAAATGAATAACCTGTTTTCTGTTTGAGTGCTGTGTGGCAGTRTTGTATAAAGTACCACAAAGTGATACTTGAGTAAAATTACAAGAATCTTAACAAAAAATTACTTGGTAAAAATAAAAGTCTCCTTTATAAATGTTACTTGAGTAAAAGTCTTAAAGTATCTGATATTTTTGTACTTAACTATTAAAAGTAAAAGTACTGATTTAAAAAGAGCAGTTAGGTTTTCTGTATTGACATTTATTAGGTGGTGACCTCCCAGAAAAATGCAGAAATGACTGTATTGTATTAAAATAAGTAATTAATGTTAAATTTAGGATGCACTAGTCTAGCTGTTTCAGTTTATATACATACACTATATCAAGGGAGGCCAAACCTTTTCCCCTAAACAAAAATCTGTCCGAGGGCTGCGGCCAATATAATTCATAAAATGATGATGATGATGATGATGATGATGTTGAAAGCCTTTGTCATTGTTTGCACAATGAAATTACATTTAAGAACACCCATTCAAGAAGACACACTCATAACAAAAATATGGGGGAACAAGTGATCAGGTCATGCGGCAACCAGTAGGGGTCGTGCTACCTTTAAAAAGCTTGGAATACACACAGTAGGAAAGATGAGTTTAAAAAAAGATGCTCTGATTCTATGTTTACACAGAAACACAGAATCATAYGCTCAAAAAACCCACTGTCTCAGTGCAAGGCAGCTAAGGAAGGAAGGGAGGGGGCTGGGGATCAAACACATGGTACGGGGTAGGATGCAGCAGAGCCAGTGACGTTTCAGGGTAATACTCCATGCTGGAACCAATCAAAGACCTCCAGAATCCAAAACAAGTTGTTATCAACCAAGCACAAATCTCCAAATACTTCTTAAGTACAGTTGTTTTATTTTAATGATTATGTCCTGCTGGAGTGTGACATGACTTGTTTGTGTACAAAGTAATACGCTATCAGAGTTTTATATATTTATACTTCTCATTCGACCACAATTAAATTCACTCTATCTAGGAGACACAATTTATATGGATAGTATTTATTTTTTACAACAAGCTGGAATGAAAACAAGCAAAATGAAATAAAAGTAACAACTTTCTATTTCTTGCCTTTCTAAAAAATGTAAGGAGTAGAAAGTACAGATAATTGTGTGAAAATAAAAGAAGTAGAAGTAAAAAGTATGCTGAAAAATAATTACTTAAGTAAAGTACAGATACCCAAAAATTCTACTTAAATGCACTAACAAAGTATTTGTACTTAGTTACGTTACAGCTCTGCTGCGTAGGGAAACATTATGACCTCACAGGGCTGCTGGCGTGGCATCTTGCTGATTCTTACACATTTTATTTTTAATTCATATTTTTAGTTTGTCTATGAAGACTCAATGGACCTGATTGCCAAGTTGCCCTGCATTGCTGCTAAGATTTACCGCAACCTGTACCGTGAAGGCAGCAGCATCGGAGCCATCGACTCCAACCTGGACTGGTCTCACAACTTCACCAACATGCTGGGCTACAGTGAGCCCCAGTTCACAGAGCTGATGAGACTCTACCTGACCATCCACAGGTGCAGCTTACACCATGCCTTCATATCATGATGTTGTGTAATTTCATCTGAAAATAACAAACCACACCTCTAGAGTGCAACCAATTTGCTTTCAAATGTGACTTGATTTCTTAATAGTGCGACTAGAAAAGAATTCAGGTCTCACTGGTGCGACCAGTCGTTCGAGGAGGGGCGGCGGGTCACTACTTTCAACAAATCGAACACCACCCCCACCCCGAGCCTGTTTATATTTAGAACCACATTGACAGAAATGCTCTGATATATGTAATTGAATAAATCATCAAATATGAAGAATAAATAGTATTAAAT